GGATTTGCTGCCCTCCTGTGGCCAAACCTGTGAACTGCCGCCTCCGGGTCCCCGCAGCCCTTGAGCGCCCACCCAGCACACGGAGGCGACCAAGGCGGGGCGAGCCAGGGGGGGATCCCAGGGGGAATCTGAGGTGCTCCAGGCGGCCACTCCGCGTCCCCCGGCCTGCTGCACACGGATACGCCACAGCACTTGGCGGATGGGACTTGTGGTCCCCAGCTCTGGAGCGCCACAGCAAGGAGGGCTACTGTGCGGGAGGGGGCAGAGCGGAGCCTGTGGCCCCCACGGCGGAGGGGCTCCCGGGGAATCTGGGCGGGAGGCTGGGGGCGCTGCTCCTGGCTCTGGGCACAAGTGGGAAGAAACACAGGCCTCCAGTTCCAAAAGACTGGCACCTGAAATTGGGGTATTTTCATGATCATCCACGCAAGGATAAAATGCAAAAGGATTGCTCCTTTTTCTCATGATTAGTTAGAAATATGGCTTTTATGCTTTCCATGTTCCAGCCTTCCACAGCTGGCTGCCCGCCAGATGTGCTGGAGTACACCCCGTCGTTTGCAGACAGCATGGGAATTGTAGTCCAGTGCCTTTGGAACCGGGGCTGAATGTGGTCGGCCTCCATGGAGCAGCACAGCAAGGAAGAGGCATTTGGCACCCCCCCAACCCCACGCCATCGATTGAGCCCCCATCCCCGCACGAGGCCCCAAGCAGGGATCCCCGCCAGCAGATCTGCACGGCCGCTCCAGTCCAGCAGCCTGCAGTGGAGGAGGGACCTCCCTTCCTCGCGGTTTTCCGCTTGCTCGGAGCCGTTCCCTGGTCCCCGTGGCCGCCGCTGGCCGGAGTAATGCTGAGCAAAATAGACATTATGGAGAGGCTGCTGGGAACGGATCCAGGGATGGACCTGAGGACTGCTCTGGACCCAGAAACTCTTCCTAAATGGGGATGCCCCCCCCCCGTCTGCCCTTGGGCATGCCTGGTCCAGTGCAGCAGAGCCCTCAAGTCAGCTTCTCCGCAGGCGGCCTGGATGGGACCCCCATCCTGGGGCCACAGGCTGAAATTCCTGCCCCCGTCACCCGTCACCCCCCACCCCCCGGCTGGGCAGCCGTGGCACTGAACAGTTATGGTGCGCGGAAGCGTGGCCTGGCCAGAGGGCCCGGCTTCGGTTTTAAGCTTGTTCGGGGGAATTAACTGGAGTTTTGCTCAATCTGGATGAGAAAACAGACCGAGGTCGGCTAGAAACAGAGGCTCCCTCGCTCCACTTCGCAGCTGAACCAGAGCAGGATGGGAAAACATACCTATACAGCCTCTGGTTCCTTCCAGATTCCTGGAAATACAAGTACCATCATCCCCTGCTGGCATGAGTCAGGGATGAAGGGAGTTGCACGCCAAGAGACTGCGGAACAAGCTGGCAAAGAGAACTGTGGTTTAGGGGCTTTTTCTGAACAGGAACAGTGGATCTAGCAAACAAAATTTAATTTCCTTTGAGGACGGATTCCAGTCTTGAGCTTTTAAGTAACTCGGCAGCCCGGGAGGCTCCCGGAAGAGCCAAAAGGGTTGAGAGGAATGACCTCCTGTTTGCAAGATTCCCCGACACCCCGAACACCTCCGGCTCTGCACAACAGCAGCACAGGCCGTGGGGCATTTTGACTAACACGTCAAAGATTTGGTTTCCATCCCACATGTCGCCAGGGGGCTGCAAGAGGTCCCCCCCTCAAGCCAAAACAGGCATCAAGAACAAGGCATTCCTTCACAGCCTTTAACAGGGTTAGCCATTGACAGGAATATGCACGGAATTTCCAATAAGGTGCCAAAGTCAACATCCTGTTACTTAACATGCAAGTTTCTAGTCCTTAAGGTTTGAGGGTTTGCTTGCACACACAGAACAGAGGCAAAGCCTGGCAGACGAGTCCCAGAAGGGGGCGAGCGAGGATTCCCGTAGTCAGGGTGGAGTTGGATGTCTCGGTTCTTCCCCTGGGAATAAACACATCCTGCAGACTGGAAGCAAGGGCACCCGCCCCTGAGCGAGCGCTGGCCATTTTGGAAGCACAGAGAGAAAACACAAGCAAGCAGGCAGTGTTGGAACCAACGGCAACTTTAATGCTGCGCCACCGGAGGAATATATCACAGCGCTTCCACCCACACGACCAGGCAGACTCTCGGGCCCCTCCCAGGTTTTAGCGGCACCGAGAGCGTCTTCCGGCTGGCAGCGATCCGCCTTCCTTCACTCAGCTCAGGCACAGAGAAAAATGCGAGCGCTTCCGCTCCGCCTTTTCTGCCCCAGGGCGAGGACTCGTGAACCCATTCCAGGCCCGGGCTCTCCAGCAGCCCCCCAGCAGCACCAAGTCCGCCTTGTCCCCGGCCCCTGCACGCCGCGGCGCCGTCAGCCAGCCAGAGATCCTGGCGCCTCTTCCAGCGCAGCGTGCGCAGCACCAGGGCCGGCCCAGGCAGGAGCAGCAGCTGCACAGCGCCCAGGAGGGCGCCCCGGTCACATGTTCGCCCGACTCCTCCGCCCGCAGTTCTCCGTCACAGCTGCCAGGGCCACCGTCTGTCTGTCCACTGTCCATTTCGGCCTTTCCAGCAAATCGCCAGCCTTGAACGGAGGGGCTGACGGGCGCACGGTTCAGAAACACGGCTCTGAAGCTCAGGGACAGGCTCTGCCCTCGTGTCGCGTCACCTGCAGGCACCGGGCCTCCCCTCCAGCGAGCGAGTCCTCGAGCCACACAGAGGCCTCTTAAGGTGAGGCATGCCCAGCACAGGGGCGGGAAGGAGGGCGGGGACAGCAGGGGCCGGGAGAGACGCCCGTCCGGCTCCGGGGCTCCTCCCCGAGGGGGGCCGCCCACGAATCAGTGGGATCCGGTCGGGAAAGGGCCACGAGCCCAGACAAGACCGCTGATGGAGGGCTGCAGTCAATGCGTGGTCCCGGCTTCGGGCCCCCTCGAGCCACGGAGACCCCTGAGACCGCCCCAGAGCAGCGCCAATCACAGTGGGAGTGAGGCGGGGAGGCCCCCCCCAATCCAGCCAGGAACTGGGACACGCAGAAAGGAAGACAGGCGATGTTGGGAGGAGAAGGGGCGGCCCCCCTGCCCCCCCGCGTCCAGAGGGTCGACTCTCCCCCCACCAGGCGCTTGCCTCAAAATCAGAGCTGGGGTGCATTGAACATTCCTCCAAAAATACTTTATTGCGCATGAGCTCCCTTCCTCCGGGAAAGCGTGGGGGCCTCTAGTCCGCCCCGCGGGGGCCGTCCGGCCGTCCGAGCGAGAGCAGCCCCGGTGGGGTGGGGGGTCATTCGTGCCTCCGCTTGGAGGGCGGCACCAGGTGTGGGGGCAGCTCGGCCGGCAGCTCGTGCCCCTCCAGCTTGACCTTGATGAGGTGGTTGGCCAGCGCGAATTCCTCCTCGTCCAGCAGCCCGTCCCGGTCCACGTCGGCCAGCTTCCAGATCTTGCCCAGCACCGTGTTGGGCAGCTTGGACTTGACCATCTCCTTCTTGGCGCTGGCCCCCGTGATCTTGCCGTTGACGGGCGAGAGCGTGCAGAAGATCTCGTCGTAGGTGGGCTTGTCCCTGCTCACCACCCACTCTGCGTCGTCGATGCCCTCGCCCGCGCCCTCGCCGTAGCCGTGCCCGAAGGGGCCGTTCATGGTGCCCTCGAAGGCGCCGCCCTTCACCACCTGCGCCGGCATCTGCGACTCCTCCTGCCGCACCAGCACCATCAGCTGCGCGATGTCTTTCGCCAGCATGTCGTCCACCGCGTCCAGGAGCTTCGTCTTCAGGGGCTGGAACTTGCTGAAGTCCTGGGACAGCAGCTGCTCCTGGAGAGGCAACGGGGCGCAGTGGGCGGCGTTACACCGGGCCGCACGGAAACAGCGGCGCCTCGCAACCAGGCGCGTCGGTACAGGACGGGGATCGCGTGGCTCGACGGGACGGGAGGAGGAGGTGGTCTCGGGGTCATTGCGGGCAACAGGCTGGGCGTGAGCCAACAGTACGATGCAGCCGCCAAAAGGGCAAACGATACTTTGGGAGGCACTAGCAGAAGCATGACTTCCAAATCGCGAGAAGTATCATTTCCCTATGCTCCTCACCAGTCAGACCTCGGCTGGAATACTGTGTCCAGGTCTGGGCAGGTAGGCCGTGGCGGGGCTGGGGGAGGGTCCCACCGCACACATCCCCCAAAGTCCCCACAAAACCAGAGGACTCGTGGAGGATTGGGGCGGCACACCTCTCGGGACCCCCGGCTCTCGCCAGACTCAGAACTGCAGGGAGCGCAGTGGGGAGACGAGGCCCAAGCGCCCCCATCGCCAGGCCCCTCCCCAGCCTCACGGCCGAGCGCGAGTGTCGCCCCCGTTCTGCGGGATCCATACCTGCATCTTACGGAGGTTGGGGAAGTCCCCCGGGGAGATTTGGTGCTCCCGCTCGATCTTGAGGTAGATCTCGCCCAGGTTGCTCACCAGCTCCTTCTTCTTGCTCTCCTTGCCGAAGACGTTGGGCATCTCCTTCTTCAGGGAGCTGATGATGTAGGCGTGGACCTGGGCAGGGGGGAGAGCACGCTGAGCGATGGCCGGCCACGCGGCTCCCGGGGCCTCACGGCCACAAGGAGGAAGCCAGGCCCAGGGCCGGGCAAGGGGCTCCGCGCTGCTCGCAAGAGGGAGAGCTGCAGGATGGTCATCTCACCCCTGTCCTGCTTTTTCCCCCTTGAAGGAGCCCTGCGGCTTGAATAAACCCTGCTCCCTCTCCACCAGGCCGGACTGGGGCTCCCCGGCCGGTAAATGCGGCGGCTCAGAAATCCGTCCATCCGGCCGGCCAGGCAGGCAGGCAGAAGTTCCCCGGGAGAGGCTGACCTTGGCAAGCCTGGCCCTCTTGATGAGGTCGTTGAGCTTCCGGAGGGCGGCATTGCGGGGCAGGGACTGGATGTCCCGGAAGAGGTCCTGCTCCTCGGCCTCGAAGAGCTTCCGGTTGTCCGCGATGAGCAGCGGGTGCGACCAGAAGGAGCCGATGTAGACCCGCACCACCTCGGGCGTGTTGATGATCTTGCCCAGCGACCACATGAGGGCGCCGTAGACCCGCATGAGCTGCTGCGTCTCGATCTGGTCCGCCTTGTTCAGCACCACCCGGATCTTGTCCTCGTGGTTCTTCAGGGCCTTGATCACCTCCGAGAACTCGTCCGAGATGTCCAGCTTGTGGGCATCGAAGAGCAGGATGATGCGGTCCACCCGCTCCGCGAACCACTCCAGGACGGCCGCGAAGTCGTACCCTGTGGGAGACGGAGGCAGCGTCACTGGACAGAGCCCTGCAGAGCCCCCCATCCTGTCCCGTCCCCCTCCAGGCGGGGTGTGGAAAGTTTCCCAAGCTACCTGCTCCCAAGGTTTGGCTCCTCCCAGCTGAGCCCCAAGGCCGCTGGGCTGCCCCTTTTCCAGACAGAGGGAGGGACCCTCCCCAGCCACCAAAAACTTGGCTTGCGCAGCCAGACAGAGTGGTGGAGTGGTTAGTGTCGAGCTGCTCATGGATACAAAACCACAAGCCAGGGAGGGTCAAGCCAAGCCCACCTCGCAGGGAGAAGCGGGTGCCGCCTTCCCCTGTGGTTTCCTTCCTTTCACAGGATTCCTTCCCCCCTGTAGAAGCCTGGGATTCTTCTCTACAGTCTCGCTGCTTTTGGGGACAGCGGGGCGCTAAATTATGCAGCATCACTGTTTTCTCCGGCCTCGTTGGCCTTTGGCTTTGCCGGCCAAGGACTCCTCTGAGGTGGAATGCAGCCCTTGGGCCAAAACGAGCCCCCCCACGGCCCGGCCCAGCCCAGCCCGCCGCCGGTTCCAATCCCAGACCGAGCCAAGGAGCTGACAAGACGCATTTTCTTCCAGCTACAGTGAGCGTGCAGAGAAACTCGGGGGGGGGGGGAAGGCGGAGGGAGCTGGCAGACGAAGCCTGTGCCCCGCCAACCGGCTCTTCTCCCGCATCTCCACCGCTTGCTTCCAGGTTCCCCCACAAGCGGCGTCCGCAGGGGGCGTCTTGCAAGCCCCCCAAAAGGAGAGCAGGAAGGTGCTTTTGCTCAGCAGGACCCCTCTGTTCTCGCACTTCCGGGCAGAGCCCTCAACTTCCCTCTTTCCCCACCTGCGGTTTTGCTTTTCAGCCTGAGAAGTGCTTTGAGAGGCTTTTGAGGCACGAGAATTTTGCCAGAAAAGAGAAATCAGGAGAGCCAGTGTGGTGTAGTGGTTAAGAGCATGGGACTGGGACTCAGGCGATCCGGGTTCGAGTCCCCGCTCGGCCATGGAGCCAGCTGGGTGACTTTGGGCCAGTCACAGACTCTCAGCCCAACCTACCTCACAGGGTTGTTGTTGTGGGGAGAAGATGGAGGAGGAGAGACGATGTAAGCTGCCTTGAGCCCTTTGTAGGAAAAAGGCAGGATATAAATTGGAAATAAATAAAAAAAATAAAAAAAAATAAAATTTCTTCTGCCACAAAGAGCCAGCTCGCACGCCCGGGGGACAAACCTGCCTGCCACACACGAGATCCAGGCACCACAGCAGCCACACTCCAGGGTTAAGGGCCGGCTGCCACGGTACCACAGGGTGTTTCTGAAACGTGGCTTATCACCTGAACCAAGCCACTTGAATAAGCCACGGTTTGTTCGCTACCAGGAACCCGTGCAGAGCACCCACGGCGAGGAACCAGAGGCTGTTCAGACTTAAACCATGGTTTGTTAGCGCAACTGCGGTCAGACAACACTATAACCCAGACTAGGCGCTTGCTGAACCGTGGACCGCTGACGCAAGGGGCCTGAACCAACCGTGGCGAGCGAGCCACTAAGCACACCAGCCGGAACCGCTGGGTTCCCTTCACAGGTCGCCCGTCACTGGCAAGCCGTGGCCTGTTAGCTGGGCTAGGACAATGCCGCCGCCACCCATGGTTCAACAGCAACCCACACTCAGCGGGGCTCAGCGTCACGTGGGGGTGCGACGGCTGTCCGGACGTGCTCGCTCGCTCGCTCTCGCTGTCCCTCTCGCACACACTCAAGCACCAGCAGACGCGTGGGCCCGGCGCCCGGATCCCGGCCCTGCCATTCCAAGCCCTACCCAGCTGCAGTGGCCACGAAGACACATAGCCTGGGGCGCAACTCAGCCCCGGAGATGCGCTGTGCGCCGCACACGGAGCAGAGAGTTTGCGTCACTCTTTGTGCTTTTAACATGCACTTTTGAATAAACGGGAAGCTGAGTCAGCAGCAACGCGGGGACTTCTTGCTTCTTGCCCCACGTCCTTCCCCAGCCCCTTCCATTTCAGCAGTGGGAAGGCTGGAGAAGCAAGCCTCCCTTTCATTGCTGCTGACATAAGAGGAGGAGGTGAGGCGCCACGGCCCACGGCCCCCGAAATCCCCTGCCAGGCCTGGCGGCCTCGGAGCACCTGCTTCCGGGATGCTGCCCTGGTGCCCAGTTCTGCCCTTCCGCTTCGGCCCAGAGCTCCCGAGTGGCCCCCGTCCACGGGCTCTGCAGAGCCGCAGGAAGAGATCCCCGGGGCCACTCGGTGCCACCTCCACCCTGAGACGCTGCAGAGGGCAAAGGGATACAAACGTTTTAAATGCATCCACTTGGTTTCATCGCAGGACAACAAATGTTTCCTGTTTTCCTCCTGCAACGTCTTCACAACCTTGCAGAGAAATACTGCAAATGGGCAAGAGGAAATTGTGCGTTCTGTGGCCTTCACAGTTACATGCCACACTTTTCCCTGTCCTGGGGGAGGGTGCGGGGAACCCATGAAGGGTCACTGGAGCCCATGAGAGGAAATGCAATGCATTTTCAAATTCAAGAAAGTAAAAAAGACGATGCTGATGTAGAACACCACTCAGTGAGGCAAAATTCGAGCCATTCCAGCAGTCTGCGAAGGGAGACGGGCAGGACGGGGGGGGGGGGCACTCCACCGGCCCCCATCTTACCTAGACGCCGGAGGGTTTAGAAAACGGGGGCCGCCCGGTCCTTGCAAAGCACGAGGAGGGCGAAAGGGGCCTTCTTGGAGATCCGGCAAGCAGAGCAAGCCGCCAAAGGGCTGGCCAAGGAGGACCTCTGCCGGAGGCCAAAGCACTTGCGGGCGGAGGTCAGATGGGGGTCAGTCCTTTCCCACAGGGAGAAGCTGGTGAGCCCGGCCGCAGGGGGCAAAACCGCCCCGGCAGCATCGCGGGTCTCTCGGCCCCCGCAGGACAGTGGCTTGCTATGCAGATCCAGGCCACAAAACTCCTCCGCTCCCATTTCTGCTCCTGAGTGGCTTGGTTCGCACGCCATGCTGGACCAGGGGTTATTTCGGCCAGGGTCTCTGCTGTTCTGGCTGATTTCTCTTTTCCTTCTACGGCTCTGTCCCCGATCCCAAATGCCTCGGCACCATTCCATATTGGCATGCAGAAAGGCACTTAAAAATACACGACGACGCTTGCCCACCAGCTCTGTAGCTTAACAAAACAACCTATGGTTTGGGGCTCACGCCTGAGGTCCTTTTCCAAGTCAAGGAGAAGGGTCGGGAAGGGGGGGGAGTGCTTCCTTTCCCGGGATCAAATCCCCGACTTCTCCGAGCGGTTCTGGAAAAGCTCAGCCTGATACCTGCAAGAGCACCAGCTCTCAGTGCCCCGTGCGATGCTGCATCCGACCGCTTCGTCCCAGCCCGCATGCGATGCGCCTGTCGGGGGGGCTAGGTGGCAAAGGTGGGGCTCCACACGGCTGCCTGCAAAGGCACTCTGTACGTGGACACAGGCACTCTACCCAGGCAAGCCGAGCCGCACGCTTTCCACTTCCCAACGCCTCCTCAGCCGGCCCAAGGCCAGCTCCAACATCCTGATGGACGAGGTGTGGAAAGAGTGGGGGCTCGACTCTTGGGCGAGGGGCGGTGGCGCCGCACATGCGGCTTCCTGTGAGTCAGCCGCTCGGCCGCAGCGGCACTTGCATCACCGGCGCCGGCCAGGAGGAATCCGGGCGTGCCGCATTCTTTCCAAGGTGCTTCGGAAAAGGTGGACAACAAAACTGGACAGCTCCCGGAGTGCCCGCTCCACAGAGAGGGCCACTCCTCAGCCCCGTGCAGGAGAGGAAAGCGAGGCGACAGAGGCAAAAAATTCCCGGCGCGGGAAGGCCGGCTTTGCAGAGCCAGGGGCCGGGGAGGGGAGCCGCGGTCGCAGGTTCCCCCCAGAACAGGGATGGCGAACGGCTGGAGGCCGAGTGCCCCAACGGCCACCCAGAACCCACGTAGGTGTCGCACACAGTCAACACCGCGCTGAAACACTGGGGCGCCTTGGCTTGCCTGCCGACAGAGAGGGCGCTGCGAGCCCCAGTGGCACATGTGCCATAGGTTCACCACCGCTGCCTTCACCCTACCCTGGGGCCCACCCCTAACCCTACGACAGGGTGCAAGTTCCACTGCAAAGAGGGCGATTTTGAAAAAGCCCCCCTTGAGCAGCTTGTTCTGCGCATCTCAACTTTTCTGCCCCTTCTAAACACGTTCCAACCATCAAAACCATGCCAGGGCACCTCGTTTTCCTAACCCTCACCCTACCCTCGTGACGTCATCACCTGGTGCCGCTACTCCTTTCTGAGCATGCGCATGGCCCCTATGTACAGTGTCATCCGATGCTCGGTTGCCGGGGCGATGCCGGGGCGCCTTGGCTTGCGTGCTGACAGAGAGGGCTCTGCGTGCCCGCTGTGGCACGCGGGCCTTGGGTTCACCAGCAATGTAACAGAATCTTTGTAGAGCAAAAAAAATCAATCCAAGAGACATCTTTCAAAGTCATTGTCAAGCAAAGCACGCACTTCTGTTGCATTTGCCGGCCGTTGGCAGCAGAATCCTGCACGCGTTTCCACAGAATCCAGTCCCACTGGGCTCAGCTGGTCTTTCCCTGCAGCGCGCCTTTGGGACTGGTCCAGGAGGGTGGGGGACAGTATAATGACATGGAAAGCTTTTGGCGTGTTAAATCTTGCAGGCTGGAGGAGCCATGGCACAAAGGCGTGTGCTTCCCTACGCACAAGTTGACCCTTTATGCAATTGTGCTTTCTTGCTGAAGTTCAAAATGCTGCCTTTTGTCAGCCCAGCCATGCTGACAAACCACCCACAAACAATCCACAGCTCCCAGCAAACCAGGATTCACGACCAACTCAAAATTCAACCAACGCTCTGAACTCGCTGCTTTTCAGAACAACCGCACACACCGATCTGTCACCCACAAGCCACAAGCCACATACAAGTGCAGGCACACTTAGCTAAACGCATTCTCCTCGAAGACAAACTCTGAGAAGATCCACCCCGTAAACTTGGTCGCGTTTTAGAAGGTGAGCCAAAAGACGGCCCAAACTGTTTTGATATTTGTCCAAACTCTTTTTGATATTTTGAGCCAAAACACCAAGACCAGGCAGTTCTACTTTACATCCCTTGACCTTACAGAAAGTGAGAGGCCTTACCAAATTCTGCAGAATTTCACAATTTGCTAGAACAAAGGAGAAATGCTTTTCGGCAATGTCAGGTCTGGGAAATTCACGCAAGAGGTCCCATCCGCACTTCCTTCACCCCAGCATCGCCCTCAGGGCACTGCGATCTGCATTTGTTTATTTTTTCAACACTTATGACGTGGGTTTTTCACTGTTTGGAGGAACAGAGCTTCCAGTCTGAAGCATCCATCTAGTGCCCTGCAACTCGGAGCATCTCTGACCGAGGAGTGGAGTTAAAATCCAAAACACGAGGGAAATCCCAGGAAAAAGAACAGCAGCCAGCCCCTCCTTTGCTGCTCCAGGAATCGGGGGAGGTCTATTAACCCAACATGCATGGCCCCCAACCCACAGCTCCCCCCGCCCCGCCAGCTTCCCATTAAACCAAACTAAGAGCTAAAGCGGGCTCTTTTGCACCCGTGCGGGTGAGAAAGCGCTAAGCGGAGCTTCGGCCCCGCATCCTGATTTCTCGCCGGCTGCGGCCGGGCAACCTCTTATCACTGATCCACAGAATTTCACTTCTGTTGCATTTGCCGGCCGTTGGCAGCAGAATCCTGCACGCGTTTCCACAGAATCCAGTCCCACTGGGCTCAGCTGGTCTTTCCCTGCAGCGCGCCTTTGGGACTGGTCCAGGAGGGTGGGGGACAGTATAATGACATGGAAAGCTTTTGGCGTGTTAAATCTTGCAGGCTGGAGGAGCCATGGCACAAAGGCGTGTGCTTCCCTACGCACAAGTTGACCCTTTATGCAATTGTGCTTTCTTGCTGAAGTTCAAAATGCTGCCTTTTGTCAGCCCAGCCATGCTGACAAACCACCCACAAACAATCCACAGCTCCCAGCAAACCAGGATTCACGACCAACTCAAAATTCAACCAACGCTCTGAACTCGCTGCTTTTCAGAACAACCGCACACACCGATCTGTCACCCACAAGCCACAAGCCACATACAAGTGCAGGCACACTTAGCTAAACGCATTCTCCTCGAAGACAAACTCTGAGAAGATCCACCCCGTAAACTTGGTCGCGTTTTAGAAGGTGAGCCAAAAGACGGCCCAAACTGTTTTGATATTTGTCCAAACTCTTTTTGATATTTTGAGCCAAAACACCAAGACCAGGCAGTTCTACTTTACATCCCTTGACCTTACAGAAAGTGAGAGGCCTTACCAAATTCTGCAGAATTTCACAATTTGCTAGAACAAAGGAGAAATGCTTTTCGGCAATGTCAGGTCTGGGAAATTCACGCAAGAGGTCCCATCCGCACTTCCTTCACCCCAGCATCGCCCTCAGGGCACTGCGATCTGCATTTGTTTATTTTTTCAACACTTATGACGTGGGTTTTTCACTGTTTGGAGGAACAGAGCTTCCAGTCTGAAGCATCCATCTAGTGCCCTGCAACTCGGAGCATCTCTGACCGAGGAGTGGAGTTAAAATCCAAAACACGAGGGAAATCCCAGGAAAAAGAACAGCAGCCAGCCCCTCCTTTGCTGCTCCAGGAATCGGGGGAGGTCTATTAACCCAACATGCATGGCCCCCAACCCACAGCTCCCCCCGCCCCGCCAGCTTCCCATTAAACCAAACTAAGAGCTAAAGCGGGCTCTTTTGCACCCGTGCGGGTGAGAAAGCGCTAAGCGGAGCTTCGGCCCCGCATCCTGATTTCTCGCCGGCTGCGGCCGGGCAACCTCTTATCACTGATCCACAGAATTTCCTGCGAGTGGCCAGGCAGAAGGGCGGAAGAGGGTGGGATTTTGGCCGCGAGGGCGGCAGTGCGAAAAGATTTCCCTTCCATCCCAGCATCCCGGGAACACGGAAGTGCCGTCATTAACTCTCGGGGAAGGCAAGGCTGGTGGAACTCGGGCCAGGCCTCGCTTCCACATCCTTTTTGGGCAATGGGGGAAAGAATTTGTCCGAAGGCAGAGCCTTTCCTGGAAAAGGGAGGGGAGGGGAGGGGAGGGGGAGGGCGGGTAGGGATGGGGATGGGCAGGCCGGCTGAACAGGGTGTGTCCCAAGGCCGGGCAGGAGAGAAGGGAGAGACGGCCCAAGACACGGGAAGGCGGCTATTTTTAGCCGCCATCCATGACGGCTCGCTCGCAGCCCCACGAGACACCTCCTCCTGTCCGAGACCCGCGCTCCTGACCACCCGAACGCAATCCCTTCCTGGCGCAGGGGTGCCTGGCAGAGACACAGAGAAGCCCAGGAGCAGCGGCTCCACGAGAGCTTTGCTGTGCCAACTGCATATTTCTGGGCCACGCCTGGAAAGTTCAGCTCGGAGAGGAGACGCTTCCTCTGGAGGGGGCAGGACAGGAGGCCCAAGGCCTGGAGAAAAACACCCCAGGCAGTTCTTCTCTGCCCCTCCCAGGCATGGGAACAGTTCCTTTCACAGCCAGTATGGAATGCGCAGAGACCAGCAGGGCATCGCTGGAATCCGCTCTGCTCCTAGCTTTAGTGCCCACGGGCGGGAATGTAGATCCATGCGGGCAAGAGGGAATGAGCCAAGGCGGAGCCTGCAGCCGAGCCCCAGCAGCCCCCCTGGACCCTCGAGCCCTGGCCGGTGACAGATCTTCCCCTTTCGGGCAGGCCGCTCAACTCCATTTCGGAGCTGCTCTCCGAGGCCTCATTCCAGCCCTGGGCAGGCCAAGGCAAAGGGAGCAGGGCACCGACACCCCCAAGACACGAGGCCAGTGTAGCTAAAATGCCTCCTGCTCAAAACTGGACCTTAGCAGATGCATTCTTAGCTTGCGGAATGGGAGAAAGGAGGTTCTGGGGCCAGGGGGGTGCGGTTCTGTGCCCCCAAGCAGATCACCTTTCATCGGACCTCCGCGCGAACTTGGGCGCTGGAAGCTGCCTCCGTTACCTGACGAAAGACCTGGTGCAAGTGCGAAAGGACATGACCTGATCAGTCCTTAGATCTCTGCACTGCTTTCAGTGCTGCTGATGTCGTGGAAGGGCCCCCCAGGACAGAAACAGGGGCCCCAGCGACCGGACACCTCTCCTCCTTCCCAGCAGCTTGCCCGAGGCACCTGCGCGATATAGTTCGGCGCAGGTCTGATCCTGCCAGACCCGTGCCCTGACACCCCCCCGCGACAAGAGCTCTTGACCAGCTATGCAACCCTGCCACGCAGTCACCCAAGGACCCTGCCTTGCTGGACTGCTCCTGGGGCCAAAACAGCCTGGCCACAGGTCACCCGCACCCCTGCAGCTTCCGCAATCGGAAGAGTCCACTCTGGACTAGCGCGCAATGCCTTGGAGGACCCCGTGGGAACCACCAAATGCGGAATGGCGACACCATGCGCTGGAAACCCCAGGGCCAACTCCAGAGCCGTCACCCGTTTGCGGTACGCTTCCAGCACGGCATCCGGCCTCAACCACTTATAGGGCCTGCGACCCACGTACCTGGGGAACGCAGACATGCACCGCCCACTTGCCAGGCGCAGGGGCTGCCTCCTCTGGGAGCGCCCCACCCCCTGAAGCCGGGGCTTCAACGGTGGTGGCCCCAGCTCTGAAATTCTGTTCCCAGGTCGCTTGCAAGACCCAGCCGGCTTTCCTGACAGCTTTTAACTTCAGAAGAACTTGACATTTTCGCCTTGATGCATACTTCCAATTTAGTGAATGGCCTTTTCCCTTTTCTGAGAACTGCCTTAACCCAGCTTTTGGAAACTGGGCTGATTTTTCTTCAGAAAGCCAGGATGCAAGTTGCAAAGACGCTCGAGCGACTCATCGCCACCATCCACAAATTACCTCTGCTTATCCGCTGCTTCTCTCCAGACAAGATGCCAGGCGTGTCAATTATACTGATGCTGTCCAGAACTGGGTTGGGTAACTGGGCACACATGAACCTGCAATGAGGAAGCCAAGCGAGAGGGTTTAGCAAGGCTGGGAGCCAGCATGGAGACAGAGGAATTGCCCAGGACGCCCCACCCCACCCGGTATTGCTCAAGTTAATAACAGTAATAATAATAATAATAAAGTTTAACTGATGTTTTCAAAGTTGCTGCTCAAACTTCGTGTCTTGCATTGACTAGACAGGGGAGCGCATGGTCCCTTCCAACTCTATGACTCCAGGAGGGACTATTCATGTTGTTGAGATCTGTTGCTGTGAAATGGAGCCCACCGGTCATGAAAGCAAAACTAAAACTGTCCCCACGCAGAGCACGAATGATACACCCAGTTAAAATAGAAGCAGAGTTGCCAACATATTACACAGAGTTTAAGTGGCTCAAAATAATTTGTGTATCACCATTCCTTTTTTTGCCTTAAACGTGTAAATGGAAATACCTGTTATTGTTAAATATTTAAGGAGTATTCCCACTAATATTTTATGTAAAGTGACATTTAAACTCCACTGTGATTTAGTTCCCCCCACATCAAGTGGCAAAAATATTTGTGAAAAATTCTTACCCAACATAACACACATATTTTGCCTTTCAGATCTTGGGAGTGCCGGAGCAAGCAAAGGAGGAGAGCAACAGTGTCATCCTTTGGGGAATTTGCTCGGGGGCTCGCCCCACAAGCAAGCAGGGCCCGGCCAAAGCAGCCCTCGCTCCAGCCCGCACCAATTCAGATTCCTGTTCCTTCCACTGAGCCTGCAAGAAGCTGAACGCGGGTTGCAATTTCTGGACTCACGCCTTTTGCTTCAGGGTATCCACATGGCGACGGGACTGTCACTGAAGGGAGTCGAAGACAAGCCCACAGGGTAAGGCAGGAAGGGCCCCCAAGCCCTTCCCCAGCCCGTCTAGCCACCACGATCCCAGAAGGGCTGCAAACCCTGCGAGATCTGGCTAGAAGGTAGGACTGGACTGCAAGGCGAGGGAAAACTCAGAACGAAACCAGACAAGCATCAACCTCCTTATCCCTTCAAGATCCAAGATGGACCATCTCACCAGTGGAAGTGCGGCAAATACAGGGTCTCACCCGGCCAAACTGAAGGCACATGGACCCAGTTCCAAACCTCGGACAGAGGCAGAGAGAAAACGTATAGGATTCAAATCCATCGGGGAGACAGGAATTGTGGCTCTAGGTCAGAATCTCAACCCCCTCAGCACTTCCAGACAAGAAAACCCCTTGAAGGCTTCCAGTCAGAGCAGAAAAGCAACCGTAAGTCTTGCTTCCCGGAGACTTCTGCTTTGTTCGGCCCCATGAGATGAAAGAACCAGGTAAATCAGAACCCAGAATCCTCAGCTGTTCTGTGGCATGTGGACAAACCACAACAGCACCACCACCATCCTGTGCTGGACAACACAGGGGCCAGTTCTGGGAAGTCCAAGGAAGGCGGTCCCCTGGGCTTGCAGACAGGCAGTATGCAAACTGCCTCTCACGCCCTATACCAGACCTGCACAGCCCCACAGAATTGGGGGCGGGGAGGGGACTTTCCAACTTCAAGCTACACACTCAGGAAGTGCAATTCAAACTTCTTCCTCTACCCCAACAGCAAAGAAGCGGCACTTGGAACTCCGCAAACACACGCAGGACACGGCCAGGTTACACGTCTGTGTACGTGGAAGGGGATGTGGGAAGGAGAAAGTCCATGATGCCGTCTGGTGTATAACATTAACTAGGGCAGTGGACACTCCTCTAACTCCCCGAGTAGAATCTGCTCAACTGCCACTTTGACCCTCCCTCCGCGGGCCCTTTTCCCCGTCCCGAAAAGGGATTCCGGCTGCCTCAAGACACGGTCAATGGAGGCCGGGAGCGTGGACTTTTGGCTGCCGGCTCATTTTGTGCACCGTACAATCCTGCCCCCTCCCCAAGTTCAGGCTGAGGATCTCAAGCAGAGAAGCAGCGGTAGCAGAGCCTCAAACGGCCCGCCACACCATGGGCGCCAGGCTCCTTCCTAAACCATGCGTCCATCTCCGAACCTGCCAATTCCTCCTGCTCGTGGATGGGAGCGTCGACACGCTCTGGTCGCTCCCCAGTTGGCTCACAAACTGGGCCACGAGTGTGGCCTTCCCAGCCCAAATCAAGCACTCTTTGCTGCCACCAGGCTCTGCAATCAAACTCTGGGTCCTGCCCTCGATTTGGGGGAGGCTTTTGAGCGGTGACCCCTGCCTACAGGTGGAACGAGCTCCACCCTGCGGCTGGCCCGGCCCCAACTCTGCCATTCCTTCTGTGCCGGCTCATGACAAGGCAGCTGGTTTTAACAACACACTGGGGCATTACGTCAGCGGCGTAACAGATCTGATGATACAATTTGTGGACGTAAATGTAGCTTTTTAAGTTTGGTCTTGTTAATTTTTGAGTGTACTTTTTACAAGGCTTTTATTGTTCTTATACTTTATGCTACTGTATTTTCTGGGCTGCTTTAAACTGCCCCAAAAGAATAGTTCTTAGGTGGCAGGGAAATAAAAATTAATAACCATCATCAATAGATTAAGAGCTTTGAGAGAAGAAGATGACCGTAGCCGGCAGCCCAATAAATGGTGAGAAATCACGCATCCCCTACGTGGCTTGGACTGTGGTTTCCCGGATGGCTAAAAAAACCCCTTTTGTGATGCTGCGCTTCTCTTCCAGGGTCAAAGAACACCACCCCAAACAGTGAACTGACTGGGTACCCGATCGAGCCAAGGAAGCCCAGGGCGGATGCAAGGCACCGCTGGTGGAGCAACACTCTGCGGCACCCAGTTAAGACTGGGAGGGCGAGTGGGTTTGTCGGGGGCTGCTTTGGCACCCCAGAGGCAAAGCTCCGGAATGCGGTGAGCCAGGCGGAGATGCCGGGACGCGAAGATCTGACCCCAGGCGGGCCTCGGAGGGACCCCAGCTCCGGCGTTGGCACCCGAGCCGGTCCTTTTCTCACAAAATCACCCACAAGCACCTGGGATGCAGCGAGGAACGGAAAGTCCCCGTAACTTTAACACTGCAACTCTTATGACGACCAGGGGAGACCCGGGTTCAAATCCCTACATGGCCACGGAAAGCCCCTGAGCAGATCAATCACACGCACACGTTAGATCACACTCAAGGATTCAGTGTGGGGGTTCCGGTGCTGTCCAAATCCAGCGAACAAGCCATGGCTTGTTCACCAGGAGGACTTCGTTGGTGGGCAGCGGACTGTGCGCTGTTTGTGTGTACCCAACTCTGGTTTGTATCCAGGCAACACATTAACCCCTATTTCGGAGACAACCCGTGGTTCAACAGCAAATCAAACTTGAGGCTGGGTTGCTGGGAGGATGAAACTGGGCAGGATGAGGCACATGGGCCTTCCAATACTCAGCCAGACCACGCAGGGCAGAAGCGCTTGGGCTGACCGACTGCAGCTCCTCAGAGGTCCTCGCCCTTCTGTCCGGGGCTGTGCGGACATGGATCGGGGCCGTGCCCCCAAAGCCCCGATCCGCAGCCCCCCTCCGCCGCTGCCTCCTCCTCCGGGGCGAGGGCAGGGCGCTGGATCGAAGCCCCAGGACGGGTGGGAGCGCCCGCCAAGGAAACTCGGCCGGGCGGGGGGGCGCCGCTTCCCTCCCGCCGCTGCCCCGGCACCTACCTGTTGAGGAAGGCGTTGCCGAAGGCGTTGAGCTTGCGGAACGGGCGCCGCGGGTCCACCACCAGCGCGTTGCCCGGGATGACGCCCTCGCTGCCGCCGCCCATGACGGCGATGAAGGAGTCGGTGGTGGGCTCGGGCCCGATGCGCATGCCGGGGAAGTCCTGCTCCAGCAGGTGCCGGATGAAGGTGGTCTTGCCCGTGCTGTACTGGCCCACCAGCAGCACCATGGGCTTGCTCTCCCAGTCGGCCGGCTCCAGCGCGGGCGAGTGGAAGTCGTGGAAGCGGTAGTGCTCCTCCAGCGGCAGCAGCTTGCCGGCGTACAGCTGCTTCAGCCCCTCGGACACGGTGCGGAACAGCTCGGGCTCCTTGCGGCGCCGCGCGTCGCGGCTTACCCAGCTGAACATGGCCGAGCCGGCGCCCGCTGCCGCGGAGACGGAGGCGCGTGAGCGGCGGAGCGCGGGCGGGCGGGCGGCGCGGCC